GATTAAATATTATAGAACAAAACTAGGGAAACGTTTTTTCTTTAAAATAAAGCATTGGCAAAAAAAATTCCTCAAAAATTAACCGACAAAAACAAAAATAAATTAAAAAAATTAAAACAAAACTTCAGGTCCCACCGAGATTTGAACTCGGATCGCTGGATTCAAAGTCCAGAGTGCTAACCATTACACCATGGGACCAGCATACTGAGGTTTAGTAAAATAAGAAATTGACATTAACTTTACATTCCTTGCTACACCGCGGCGTGTCTTTTAGCTTTACAAAGTACATATGTACATGTGGAGATGACCTTAGATTTATGTCATCTTACTGTGCACGTTCACTTCTAAAAATAGCTGACCTGGTCTCAGGCGTCATGTTTGATAATAGTCTCTCTCTCTCTCTCTCTCTCTCTCTCTCTCTCTCTCTCTCTCTCTCTTAAGTCTTTCTCTTTATGTATATTATAATATATATTTTTTGCTCTTGCTCTTCCTCTTGCTCTTGCTCTTGAATATCTTGGTTATATACAACCCTAACAAGCACATAAATAATTATCGCAAACAGAGAGAGAGAGGACGTGTAATACCACCAGACCTCTTTAACATGTACAGTGAAACAATCCTTAGAAACATAGAAGAATGTCCAGATCTCAAGGTAAATGGAGAAAAGATTAATAACTTCAGGTATGCAGATGACACAGTTTTGATAGCAGGCTCAGAAAAGGACCTTCAAATGCTTCTAGATACTTTTGTAACAGAAGTGAACGTAAATGATTAGAGTTGAATGTAAAGAAAACAGAATGCATGGTAATATCTACACACAAAAAACAAAACAGCAAAGCCTTGTTGTAATCTCATTAGATAAGGTGGAAAGATCAAACAAGTCCAACAGTTTAAATATCTAGGAAATGTGATAACATCTTAAGCTAAATGTTCCACAGAAATAAGACGGAGAATTACAATGGCTAAGGCTAGTTTCAATAAAATAAGCCCAATCCTGAAAAATAGAAACATCTCAATGAACACCAAAATGAAAGTTTTGAAATGCTATGTTTGGTCAACCCTTCTATATGGCTGTGAATGCTGGACAATCACCAAAGGTAGTGAAAATAAAATAGAAGCAACAGAAATGTGGTTTCTTGGGAGACTGCTAAGAGGATCGTGGAAGGACACGAAATTAAATGAGGTAGTGCTAGATGAAGTCCACGTGGGACGCTCAATGTTAAAAACAATCAGGAAACGACAAATGCCGTTTTTGGGGCACATAAATAGACATAAGGGTCTTGAACAACTAGCTCTCACTAGCAAAATTGAGGGCAAGCGAGGCAGGGGAAGGCCCAGAACAACATACTGAGTTACCGTAGACTCTACTAGTGTTGTAGATAGATAGGCTCGCGGAAACTTGGATTGGGGCTGCAAAGAGCAGTTTCAAGCACGTTTCTTCTTGTGCGGGAAGAACGTTGCCTAGATTTTTATACAGTGACAAAAATAACTAGTGCAAAGATTTTGCTTGCTCCTAGCAGACGCTACCGCAAGCGGTGCGACGAGCGTAAACCATCCTCGTTGTCTGTCTCTTCACTGGCGCAGCCAGCGGGTGACGGATCGCAAGGATGTACATTTTAGTGAGCTAGGCCTTATGTAGATCTAGATATACTAGAGCACTGACTGGTTTAGAACTATTAGTAAAGGGGGGGAGTGAGGGCCAGGGTTAGGTGGAGCGCCTGCACCAATTGCACCAATGGCGCCCCGCCACTGCACTGGATGATGATGAACTGGCTCAGCACACTGCCGAAATGTTCTTCAAACGACTAGTGAAGAAACAGACGAAAAGTAGGCTATGTGAATCGTTGTGACCTCGAACGGGGCGATCGATGCTTTGTAGTTGGACAGCCTCCTTTTTCCGATTTTAAAGTAAAGATGTTAGGAAGGAGGGGGGGGGGCTCTTGTGGCCTAGATGTTAAGGTGTTTACCTCTAATTCAATAGGTCCCGGGTTCGAACCCGGATAGCGATGGAAAACTTTCTTCTCTAAAATGTTCTCCTTTCACATCCTCTCCTGCTCTCTAACAATATTCTGTCGTCTGCCTTCGTTTCCACTTTCTGCCCTCACCCCCTCTCCTCCTTTGCCCCCTCCTCTGGGCTCCTGACTCTTTCTGCAGCCTTTCTACTGCCACTCCTTGGCTCCCTCTTACTGCTATCTTTCAGCCACACCCCTGATCTTATATCGTAGGTAAGATCTACACCTAGCCTTCTCGGACAAGGGCGAAAAATCTCGGAGGTCCCGTGTGCAAGTTGCGCACGTTAAAAATCCCTTGGAGGTTCAAAATCAATAAGAGTAGGCCTCAGCCGCCACCCAGGCAAAATTTAAAATTACCTCCAAACTGGAAATGTTTGGTGTGTCCCGCGCGCTTATATGACCTACTCACAGTTGCGAGCGCCGTGAAACACTTCCCAAAAAATAATAATATAGAATTTATCGGCTCTGGTGGAGGACGGGGTAGATCTAGAAAGCCTATGCCTAGGTCGGGTAGGATAGCAGTGATAACATTGTAGTACAGTCTGTCTGTGCGTTATCATGTAGCAACTTAAAGCATCATATTTACAATGATAACGACAATAACAATTTTTGTATTCATCTCACAGGGAGAAATGTGTCTTGGTCGGATACAGTGGCAGTGGATGTTACAAAGGCTGGGTGCGCACACACACACAAGACAGGACACAGTAAATACGTGTTTTGCGTGATGTTTTGCGTGATGAGACAACCCCGCTACGTAAAACATTCTCTCTCTCTCTCTCTCTCTCTCTCTCTCTCTCTCTCTCTCTCTCTCTCTCTGTGTGTGTGTGTGTGTGTGTGTTTGTCCTTTGTTGCATTTGTGTTCTGTAACCTCTCTGCAGTTGATACGAATGAATTTCTATATCTGTCTGTTCTTGCTTTCTTGGAAATATAATTTATATAAACTATGATGGCTATAGTGTCTACAAACACGTCTCTGGCTATGAATTTGTCTCTGGTTGATGAACTGCATAAAATTAGTTTAGTTTACTTCATATTAAACCCTTTTAATAAACTAACTAAATATAGAAATTTGTTCAGAATTGTAAGAGAACCCTGTAGTGATAAGAGTCGTTTCCCTCTATTTAGGTCTACAGCCCCTCTCCCTGAAAGTTCCTGGACTCACTTATAACTTATGCCCCCATTGAGTCTTCGACCAAACTAATGTACTGGTGTGTACAGGCCTGTCGAGAGGGGGGGTCAGGGGGAACAATGCCCCCGG